GACAAACATTTTTAGTTCCAGAACATTCAGATTCCATACAAATGTCGACATACGAAAGATTCAGATTCGGATTAAATTGAGAAATCGAGAGAAAATAGGGATGTACCTGAGCCGATCGTTTCCGCCATTTTCGTGTTCGAAGAGAGAAAAGGGGTAATAGAATCTGAGAGTGAGAGATCGCGAGACGAATGTGGTCAGCAAGTTTTATTGTGTCTTAAGGAAATTGTGAAACTGTTGACTTTTGAATATCAACAGTTTGTATGAGGCTTTTGAATATCGATTGATCCAAATCACATGGGCCCAAAATAGGCCCATCTTATTGAATAGTTAACCATTTTGGTAAAAATGGACAGGCCTACGAAACTCCCAACCCATATATACGTATTATACTCTTTACCTACCAATTGCTGACTACAAATTCGATTATAAAGGTCAACAGATTTGGTTAAGACTTTGTTGATTTTGTGGCATCACGCAATTACATTTTTTCTTATTGTCAACATCAAAGCGATAAACTCGTGATCATGTAAGAATATTAAACTATTGAGAAAAGAAACAGATAAGAGATCATTTTATTCAATACTAATATGTATTTTTCAAACGAAAACAGAGAAACACACACACAAAGAGGTTTTATTATAGGCCTTTATTAAAGATCGAGACATGTCCTCTCTCACATAGTCTTGGACGAAATCTCGGTCACGTTGGCTTTCTTGAACATGACCAAGAGCGGCTTATCGCTTAAAGCCAAACGCCGAACGCCTTTTTCATCGATAAATATCCCGACATCGCTGTATTTAGGACACTTAGAGTCACTAGTCCCAGGACAAAACACAAACTTGTAAGCATCATCTCCAGATTTCTCGATCTTGAAGAAACTCTTCAATGATTCCCCATCGAACCCTTCTGGCTTAGGACCAGCCACCACGAAATACTGTTTCCTCTTTTTGTCGAACTCACCAATTCGCCAGTACGTTGACTGTAAGCAGATGGTGGCTTCAACGATCGTCTCGATGTTGAGATCCTGCGACTCAGGAACGAATAAAACTCTTGGCTTCCAGTTTGAAAATTTTACGGGAATACCCTCGTCGACCTCGGATGATTCTTGCACGATGTCGTAAGGACATGGCTGGTTACCGCGGCCTGCTAGAGTCAGACCGCCACCTCGGCCGCGGATGACTGGGAGAACATAGTAACTGTCGCCAAAAATGGGGTTGCCATCGATGTCGTTAACCGCACCGTATGCGTTTGAGGCCAAAACCGCGGTTAAGGCAATAACAAAGTAAAACGTAGGATTCATGGTTTTAGACTTTTAGTATGCTTTTTTGTGTGTGCTGATTATAGTGTTTGGTTGATGAAGAAAATATGAGTTGATATAATACGTATTTATAAGGGCTGGCTGCGTATTTTCCCCCAACAAATGCCACTAAAACGATTTTCCCCCACCCCCCAGACTTTTTATCTCTTCATTTTACTACACAGATTATGTAAACCGATAAAAAAACTACACAAACTGATTTTCTTTTCGAAATTCACCAAATGAAATTGGTTAACCTAAAATAGTTGGTTTAATCATAACAATGGTTAAACAAAACCGGAATCACGAT